CCACTTAATTCCTTTCCAAGTAAAGTTTTCCCTACCCTTCTTATTTTAGCCCATGGCAAAAAATAAGGGTGTGTAAAATAAAACCTTTTGTTTATTGTTATTTTCCTTCTTTTAAGCCTTTTATTAAACAAATAAAACCCTCCCTCTATTCCATTCACCCCTGGCCAAAATACACTTCACAATCCCAACATAAACACCCACAAAGAGCTAAAAGCCTGACCCACCACTAGCCACTCATTTCCTGCCCATATTCCCTTACAAATAACCCAAACCTATAAGTCCAAAACCACACGTTATATCCCCCATCCCTGCCCCCTTTTATTAGCCAAAAACAACCCCCATTTTTACCTAAATAATAGCCACAAAAACCCAGAAAACAACCACTACAGACCAAAGCTCACAACCCCCACAAACCCAGCCTCATCTCTGATTTTTAATACCACCCAGGAGACAGGATTGAAGAAAGATTACCCCATGTTTGGAGGTGGATGTTGCTAGGAAGTTTCCTAATGTCTACATTCAAGGTATTGTGCTTTTCTTCCCCCCCTCCCCCTTCCCCTACCTATATAACTCAGGCCTTATGGCCATTGTAACATCAACTTTGAATATTAAAACTCCCTTTTACTCTTTGAGTATTTATAAAATAGTGTGATGCTATTTTAGCCAAATTCCTAATTCTATATCTTAAGAAGTGGTTATCTTAAGTGTGAGTTTTAGGTTTTAGATATTTGATTAAGTGTGTTATATCTTAATTAAATTCTAGATTCAAACCCGAAGTTAGGATAAGAGTGTAATATCTCTTAACACCAACTTGGTTTTATCCATCATTATTTTCTATCCATTTCTTTCCCCACCATTTCTATCCTTAATCCCCTTTTCTTTCCTCATATTAAAAATACCAAAAGAACTCCTTCATCATCTCCATATCTTTCCAAGCCATTTCCCCACAAAACACACTTCTTCCTGCCCAGAATTCTGTCCAATAATCGATTATCTTGATTGACAATCGATTATCCGTCGTCATTAAAAAAACCTGCAGCCTTCAACAATCGATTGTCCGCTTTGACAATCGGTTATATGTACTACTTTGAAACATCTGCTGCCTGAAACAATCGATTATCATAATATTGATAATCGACTATCAATCCCTCCCGATAATCCAAGAAACTGAACCAGAAAATAATTGATTATCTTACTTAGACAATCGATTATCAACCCATCCTGCAAAAGAAGGAGCTTGTTCCTTAAATCCGAGCTTAATACTGACAAAATCGGAGCTTAGATATAACATTTGGTATCAGAGCTTTGTGTTGAACATCCCTAAGGGATCATCTTTACACGCCTCCCTCATCTCTTTTGTTACTATCAATTTTCAAGCCATATATCCACCATGCCAAGCTCTTCTCCAAACATGTTTCAAGATGAATTAGCTACTGCCCAGGAGAAACTAAAGAAGGAAGTTGAACTTGTGATGAAACAAGTCAAGGAGCTCACAAACTCAGTGGAAGTCCCTACTTTTGAAGGAAGAACTGACCCGGAAAAGTTCTTAAAGTGGTTAGCCAAGGTTGAACACATCTTTACCATCAAAGACATTCCTGAAGATAAGATGATCAAGTTAGTGACGGCCAAGTTTCAAAGACATGCTTCTACTTGGTGGACTAACATCTCCTCTAGAAGAAAACTTGAGGGAAAAGCTAAAGTGCAAACTTGGGAAAAGATGCGAAAGCTTTTAACCAAGAAGTTCTTGCCCAGAGATTACAAATTCAAGGTACCTATGAACATTTACTCCTTCCCATCCAAAACCCCTTCCAAAACCACACCACTACCCCCACAACAAACTTCCCTCATTTACCCCAACACCATCTCAACACCCCTGCCCCAAAACCTTTCCGAAATCATGTCTTCACCACCACCACTTATCACCTTAACCACTGCCCAAAGCACTCCACAAGCTATCCCCATCCCCGCGGCCCAAAACCAGCATAAAACAACCATCTTACACCCTCCTAATATTTCCCAAGAAACTAAAATAGCTGCTGCCATCTCCACAACCCGCACCTCCTCCAAAAACCACCCATCAACCCATCAGCATATTATCCAAGAAACCCTTAAACATGTTCCTCTCCAAGAACCTACCAAAACTGCATCTCCACTCCACTTTCTACTATCCAAGAGCTACCTACAATCAAGCCTACGAGCCCTTGTTGTTACCCTTCTCTAAAGGTTGGAAACTATGCTATCATGTGTCCAAATAAGAGAAAGGTGATCTTCACTCAAGATGTAGAGGAACAAGGAGCATTGGAGCAAACACAGGTTCATGACGGTAAGAAATCAGAAGCTGTGGAGCAAAAAAATCTCATGAATGAACCGTTGAGGTTCTTGGAAGAAGAAGAAGAAGAAGAAGAAGAAGAAAAGCTCAAGGTTAGGCCCATGAATGTGTGCCCTATTCTTCTAGGCAGACCATTATTGATAGATTGGAGAGTGCTCTATGATGGTTTCACTAACACTTATTCATTCTTTATGGATAGAAGAAAAGTCACCTCTACTCCTCCAATTCCTCCGAATCCTCATACCCGTATCCCAACCACTGCCCTACTCTCCATCATTATCAAAGGCGAACCATCACCACACCAAAGGGCAAGAGAAATGATACTTATTCCATCCAATGATACACAACCAAACGTCCATCCTTTGGTTCAATCTCACTTAGCCCCTTTTCCTCTCAAAAACGATCTGACCAGAAGTAACCGTGGAGCATTGTTATCACTAACGGTCCTTGGTGCCTATTTTGCTTTGTTTAAGTTGTAGGGAATTCATGAAGGAATACAAGGAACAAAGAACACTTATCCTAAGTGCTCCAAGCTGCATTCACAGGTCCCCTTTTCGCAAGCACCAAGACATAGCTTCATTGAAGATGAGGATGTAAGCAAGTTCCATTCCAGCCCCTATGAAGAGCCTAAAGAACACTTGAGTTTGAGGGCAAACTCTTTCGAACAAGGGGAGGATGTTATATCCGGGCATGCGCTGCCCAAACTCATGGATGTGCCACAAGTGTTCAAACAAATCAAGGAATTTATGGTTAAGTGTTATAATCCTTATTGGGTTGCAAGAACACCAACCAACACCCTTGTTGTTTTCAAACCCCCTTGGCCGCCCCAACCATGTCCAAATCCACCCTAAACATCCAAAATTCCTTTCCACTTAATTCCTTTCCAAGTAAAGTTTTCCCTACCCTTCTTATTTTAGCCCATGGCAAAAAATAAGGGTGTGTAAAATAAAACCTTTTGTTTATTGTTATTTTCCTTCTTTTAAGCCTTTTATTAAACAAATAAAACCCTCCCTCTATTCCATTCACCCCTGGCCAAAATACACTTCACAATCCCAACATAAACACCCATAAAGAGCCAAAACCCTGACCCACCACTAGCCACTTATTTCCTGCCCATATTCCCTTACAAATAACCCAAACCTATAAGTCCAAAACCACAC